CCCCCCCGTGGGCAGAGCAGCCGCTGAGCTATGAAGGGGGTGGGGTGGGGGGGCCCTCTGCAGGGGAGGGTCTTTCTCTAGCCTCTCCACATCTGTAGGGAAGAGCCGGGGGGGGGGGGGGTCCCGGGGGGTGTCTGTCTCTGACCTAAAGGCTGAGCTGTCTGAACGGTAAAGAGAGACCAGGGAAGGGTCTGATTAATGAACGGCTGGAAGGGAAGCAGGGCAGCTACCGGTGAGCATCAGAACACCCAGCGCAATGCTCTCCCTACCCAGCATCAGAGACTGGGCAGACGCAGTTACCTAAAGGCTGAGCTGTCTGAACGGTAAAGAGAGACCAGGGAAGGGTCTGATTAATGAACGGCTGGAAGGGAAGCAGGGCAGCTACCGGTGAGCATCAGAACACCCAGCGCAATGCTCTCCCTACCCAGCATCAGAGACTGGGCAGACGCAGTCCGTGAACCTCCTCACACAACCCTCTGCAGTCCGCACGTGTACCTCCATGATTTGGGTTATGGGGAAAGCATCATCGGGGTGAGGCATGGAGTGCCGCAGAACCGAAAGGGCAGGACCAGCGGGGGCCACACACCCCCACCCCTGTGCCTCCACCCCGCCTGCCAAGGTCTCGCCCCCGGGTAGTGCATCTCTGGCAAGGACATTACCCAGAAATCCCAGCTCGGGAAGAATACATTAAGCAAAAGAGAAACTCTATGCAAACAGCTTGGTTTATTCTGAGCAAGTAGATGGAAGCTTCCTGGCAGGAAAACGTGGGATGCCGCTTTCAGGAGGAACATCACCATGCCCGGCCCCTCTCAGGCCCTTCACCCTGCGCTGCCAGGGCCAGAGCACGTGCTGAAATCCTGGGGTTCCCGCCGTGTCGGGAGAGAGGTGCACTGGGGCCAGGAGCAACCACCGCGTGTCAGGGCGTGAGGCTTTCCTGCACTCCCCTTGAATGCGTGGCTTGGAAGCAACCGGGAAAGAGGTGGCCTTCTACAAAGCCCCCCCCCCCCCCACCCCAAGAAACACCCGGCGGCCCCCCCCCCCCCCC